CCTATCCCTACATCTGTATACTCGAGCGGCTTCTTGTCCTTGGATCTTGAATCTGCAGCCTGAAACATACGAAACACCGTGGCGCTGCTGCACTGGCGGTGTTGGGATGCTATCATACCACTCGTTGGTGAAATCGCATCCTATATGTCGCCGTGCAAGAATTGCAATACTTAGCCGTGCCTTCAAGGCTTTGTAGGCTCATGGGCTTCATGCTTTTCGGTACGAGGGTCGGCCAGCTCGATGTAGGCGTAAACCGCCAAGAGGTGGGCATAGGCCTGGTGGTACGCGGGCAAATTTCGGCATAAATCTAATCGAGACTAATAGCCCAGGCTGTCCGACGATGTTTTGGCCAGGCTTGAGTGCCAAGCACTCTTGCTAAGCACGAGCCGATCCCACCTCGCCAGTGGCGTTGCCAGCCGAGGTCATGTGTGGAAGCCTCATGAGCTTCCCAGGAAAAAGTGCACATTGACTCGGAACGATAGTGGCCACAGCCAACACGAATCCCAGTGCTGGATAAACTGAATAGGATTGTCAGGAAGGCATTACAAAAGAGACTGTGAGAAGCAGAGAAGCAAACTGCAAGGTATAATCGCTTAATCGCCAGCCTCACAAATGCCGAGCAAAGTACGGCATTGTACGGTCTAAATCGCAGCGCGACTGCGAAAACTTGATTAGCACTGCAACGGCTGTTAAATGCTTCTACACGCGCAGACCCCGAGCCCGCTGAGCCCTCCATTCGCCGGCAACGTCGCGGCCGCGTGGCGACTCCCGTGCCACCCAGGCAGCGCGCCCGGCAGCGTCCTTGTCGCTAGAAGAGTTTCGACTCCCATAATACAACCGGGACGAAGCCTTTGAAGAATAAGACGAGCAGACTAAGTAGATCTCGACATGCGCACCTCAGTTCCAGTGGCTCTCAGCACAGTTGAAATTGACAATGATTCTTTCGACATCACTATCTAACCAAGCGCGAATCGGAAACTGAACCTGAACTTCAGCATGTCGTTTGGAGACCCTGATCCTTGCCCATGTGGACGGCATTCAGGGGAATGATGGGGTTGAAGCGAAACCTCGCTGCTTGCCCGACGCATGAAATTCTGAAAGGAGCAACTTGTGCCCGATATCGGTGTATGAGCGGCCGTTTGGGATCTGGGTTTTATTTGAAGGTCCCTCTGCTAACACAAGTCGTAGCTCTGGGGGTGGTGATTCGAGGGTTTCTGCCAAAGTTCCAGAATCTAGAGCTCCACCTACATGACGTCTGTAGAGGCGGGTCCATGTCAGGGGTTCTGCTTTCTGCAAACTTGAAGTGTGACCATAGAAGTTTAACTTTCCTACTGCTCCACTACTCGCGGGACGGACTGCCCCACTCGGACGTTGCTGCCAGCCCCAAGACTAAACTCCACCCATGCAGTCTTAGCGAAGGCTTCATACCCAGCCGCGCAACGGACCTGGATCCTGCACAAACATGTAACACGCGTCCCGACAACCCCTCCAGGCGAAAGGAGAGCCGCGCACACCTAGCGACAATAGTAGCAGGTGTAGTAGCAGCGTCAGTGGCGGTAGATCGGTGGTACGTAGCAACAATAGCGTCGACCACGACTACTGCGACTACGACTGCTGCTGCTGCTGCTGCTACTACTACGACGACGACGACGATGGCGGCGGCGGCGGCGACGCCGCCGTTTTTACGACTACTGCCACCAACAGTACTAGACTCACCAAGCCCAAAACTGAAGAAGCACGGCCAGGCGGCGTGGCTTCGGTGCGCCTTCGGGCCACCGCTGCTAAAGTCTGCACTGCGGGCGCCAGAGCCGCGTCTCCTAAGGGCTTCAACTATCAGTGCCTCTCTGCGCCTGCTACTGCTACGGAAACAGCTATTTGTAGTCGTCGTAGTCCTCGTGGTTGTAGTCGCGATTGTAGCAGTGGTGGTGGTACTTGTATTGGTAATGGCAGTTAGTAGTGGTGGGGGTGGGGGTGGGGGTGGGGGTGGGGGTGGGGGTGGGGGTGGGGGTGGGGTTGGGGGTGGGGGTGGTGGTGGTGGTGGTGGTGGTGGTGGTGGGGGTGGTGGTGGCGGTGGTGGTGGTGGTGAGTGAATCCCTGGACTTCAAGCTAACACTTTGAAAGTGGGTCCGTTCGGTAGCACTGCAACCATTGAGAGGCCGGGCGAGGGGAGGGACATTCATACGCAGAGCTAGACAACCTCTGTTTCAACTGCAAGCCTGATTCAGCACAGTCCTTCGCCATTAGCAAGCGAGGTCTGGATGGGCTTCAGAACCTGGTCCACATCCTTCCGGGCACTTCCAGATGCGGCGAATTCCGCAAATGAAGATTTGGGTCAGGGCCAGCTGATCGCAAGACTTGTCTCAGACACAGCAATCCCGCCCCTTTTGCTCCTAAACTCTACCATGACAGGGATCGCTTCTTTTGGAACTGACGCTCGGGATCTTATGTTCGTCGGAACATAGTGGCAACTAAGAGTGCTCCAACATGTGCCGTGACAAGGGATCTCCAACATAGGCCTGTCATGGTCGGATGCAACGAGCTTGACTGGACTGCATTAACCATTCATCTTCACTTGGGGTGTCTGGCATTGAGAATTCCCTTTCAAAACACTATGAAGTTATACAGCGGTATGGTGTAATTTGGCAACACAACCCAAAACTTGTTGAACAAGGACTCAAGGACCTAGAAAAAGCATGCTACAGTACATACCGTTCTCCAAAACCTCAGACGGCCGTATGAATGATTTCCGCCTTGGCATCGCCCGACAACTCAGCGGCCAGGTTCGCGGCTACGCGGGCGATGTGCAGCTTCTTGTCGCTGGTGGCCTCCAACCGATCAGGATTTCTGCATGTCCAGTGCAATGTGTGCTGGCAACAACACGTCGTAATAAGGTGTAAAGCCATGCGAGGCTACCTCCCTCCCGGACACAAGTATAGGGGCCGGAACATCGAACAAGCGGTCTGGGACAGTTTTTCGGCCCTTCTACAGGACATGTGGGTGAATACCTGCACGATGCTTAAGAGTCCTTGAGGCTCCTACATAAGTCATCTGCTTCAGGGCTTGAAGCAGTCGGGCCGGGCACGCACCTGCAATATGAACACAGCGCGAAATGCTGCTGGCAGCCTTTATCGGCCCATGCTTCTGAAACATGAACTCTTCCAACACTTCAATTCCCCGTCCAGCCTCTCCCATTACGTCTGTGTGGGCGAGACCTGGCAGGCCAGGAGGACGTGGTACTTAGCTGCTTACTGGCGCTCTCACAGCTCGGACTTTACGTTTGAACTTTCGAGGTTTACGTTTCGGGGTTCGGTTCACTTTCTGGGTGATACCAGCGTCCCTCTGCTCGGGGCTAATGTGAAGATACCCACAAGCTCTTCCAGTCGTTGGGCTGTATAAGCATTCCGGAGCTCAGGTACCGAAGAAGACTATACCAGTAGGGAGCGAGTTTGATTGAACCTTCTGCGATCATACCCGAACATCCCCAAAGGGACCTCGGGTGCCCAGACTCGGCGCGAAGTTGAGCCACCACGGCAAGCGGAAAGGTGCCCAGAAACCCCGACCCAAAACGATCCAGGGTGCTTTGGACATGCTTGCCAAGTCACTCTGATTTCATTGGCCTTGACGGAAACTTGAACCGGGCGCTTGTACTCGCCATTCTACCCCAACAACTTAAATGCCAAGCAAAAAATGACTCGTCTAAATCTCCAACTGAACACCTCAAGGCCAGAAGCCCAACAACCCCTGCCCAAAGGCCAAGCCCCTGAAAGCCACTCACCTCGTGAATCCTAAGCAATCAGAAGCACTCGATACAAAAAGCCAGTTGCTTTTCTGCCGGATGCCATGGACATGCTCCTTGGATCCCATCGTCTGGTGTGCAACATCCCCTCGAAACTCACCTAACTAACCTCCATTACCGAAGAAGCGACCCCGTTCTTGGGCATCATAGCTGGCCTTCGAAGCCATAATCCACCCTTGAAACCAAGAGCATTGCCAGCATCAGTCACCATGACCACCACAGCACGTCAAAATTGTGACCGTCTCTTCGGCTTCATCAACATCACCGGCAGCAGCAGCATCGTGATGGTGAGCAGCAACAGCAGCAGCGGCGGCGGCACCGGCAGCCGACAACAGCCAACAATAATTAACAACAGCCATCAACAACCAACAACAGCCAACAACAACCAACAACAACCAACAACAATCAACAACCAGCCAACAACCAACCAACAACATCCGACAACAACCAGCAAAAGCCGACAACAACCAGCAACAACAAACAACGACAACCCACAACAACCAACACCCACCAACACCAACCAACACCAGCCAACAACAAGCAACAACAAGCAGCAAAAAAGCAGCAACAAACGACGACAAGCAACATCATCCAACAACAACCAATAACAGCCGCCAACAACAAGCAACAACAAGCAACGACAAGCAACGACAAACGACAACAAGCGACAACGAACAACAAAGAAAAACAGCAAAAAAAACAACAAACGACAACAAACAGCCACAAATAACAATAAACACAAACAAACAACAACAAACAACAAGAACAACAACAAGAACAGCAACAAGCAACAACAACGCCAACAACGACAACAACATCACCACCAACACCAAGACCTATCACCAGCAGCAGCAGCAGCAGCAGCAGCACCAACACCACCACCACCACCACCACCACAACGGCCGCAGCAACCACAACGACAACCAGTAGCCGAACGTACTACAAGTAGCCACCAAAGGCTCGGGATCCAAGGGCAATGTCCTTGTGGTCGGCGCAGCTTGCAGCCCGTCGCTGGGCAACATTGGCTGTTGGGGACACAAGAGCTTGTTGGCTCACTTGGGGCTTGAAAGACTCTCAGCCAATCAAGTGCAACAGCACACAGCGCTTATGCTCATGTTGGGGTCCTTTTCCAGGTTTAGGTGGCCTCTGGCTGTTCAGCCCCTAGATAACCAATGGCTCAGTGTTTGCGGGTCGGGCTCCGGAGTTACGCGATGTCCCAGATCTTTGCCAAGCCGTCCTCCGAAGCCGAGGCAATTCCTTGGACAAGACAAACAAGGATTCTCAAGCACTCATGTATCACCCGGCTCTGATTGATGCGAGAACTTCGCGGTGAAGACAAACCATGGATCTCTTAGACGACGATGGGGAGCTTGCAACTAACTAGGTAGCTGCAGTTAGACAACCTGAGGAGCGAGACGAATGGCACACCACATACATTAGCCCCTGCAGATGGCTCCCAAGACCCATCAGTTCTGCTCCGACTATCATGAGGAAGATAGCCGAAATCATGACTAGAACGACTATGATCATACCACGGCAGCTGTCGCTCTGCTGCTGCTGCTGCCGCTGAGACGCTGTTTCTGGTGCCGCTTGCTCCGATGGTGATATTGCTGCGATGATGCTGCTGTCCTTCTTGCGGGTCGAACTCCGGCTGCAGCCCTGTGAACTGCAGCACTACACGAGCAATTGCGATTGCCATGGTTGCCATAGTTCGGTATACCTTGATATAGTGACGAGTGCAGCGGGCTCATTCACGATCACCCACCGCAGGAACCACGAAAAACGGCCCAGCATGGGATCTGGCTTGCATGGCAATTACTGTATCTATGCACCGTATTGAGAATCCGGGGCCAATGAACCCAGTAGCATGTGCAGTCACTACCATACTCTTACTTGTAGCTTTTGCAGCAGGAAGGTCGCTTGCCTTTCGGCGCCCAGCGTACGCAGATGACCTGGTGGACGGTGGATACCACGGGGTCAAAATTGGAAGGCTTTAACTGTTGAATCTGCCAAGCTTCTACTAGATTCATGCTTTTCATCGTTTGCTGTTTGCTGCGCTGAATTGGCTCGTCTGTGAGGTCGAGTTCTCACCCTTGCTAAGTCCTGGCTGTCTCAAGCTCCAATGCTGCCACTGCGCGGCAGAAAGAATCACAAAAAGAAAAGCAGCAAATCCACCGAACAAACATGTGCATGTTTGCCAGCGGGACTGAAGGTGAATGCGAGAGGGTGGGTAAGCTGCACTGGTTCTTCTGACATCAACCTCCTTCCACCCCTGAGTCTGAAAGTGCTCCGCTACATGCCACCGGTAGTGCTCTTGAGATCCATCAGTGCCAAGGAACACCCGCAGCGTGACCGATGTGGACGGCCAGACATTGCGCCGCTCGTGCCTGGCCCAGGTCAGCTTATCCAGTGCAGCGGCTGCTCATCTGCTCACGCGGCGTAAACTTGCATGTATATGCAGATATAGAAATGGAAATAGATGAAGATGTAGACAAAGAAATAAACAGACACATAAATACATATGTCTACAAATCTGAAAATGCGTGTGTGTATATATATATATATATATGATGCCCCTGTGGTGGTATGCGGCACCCTTTATGTTGCCCATGATGTTGTGCTGCTCTAGACGGCGATGCGAGTCGACAATCGGATCATCGTTGACATCATGCTCAACATCATCATTATCGTCGTCATCTTCATCATCAGTACCATCAGAAGAATGGCTGGCACGATCACCATCGCCATACAACCCTCATAATTAAGCATTGTAATTCAGGTCTGATGCGGGAATGCGGGAGACTACTGCCCAGATTGCCGCTTTCCGCACAGGGCGCGGGGAAGTGCGGCAACCCCAATCCACGCAGCAGGCGCAGGGCGGGGTCCAGCATGCATATATATATATATATACACATACATATATGTGTGTATGTATATATATATATATATATATATTTTTACACGCCTATCTATCTATCTATATATATATATATGTGTGTGTGTGTGTGTCGAAAAATGGGAATGCCGAAGGATGTATGTAGGCATTCCTGCATGTATATGTTTAAGAACGAATGAATGAATCTATGTATGTATGTATGTATGTATGTATGTATGTATGTGTGCGTATCGATGCATGCATGCACATATGTACAGATGTACGTATGTACATACGTATGTATGCATGCGCGCATGTCTTCATGCCGGTATGCATGTATGCCTGTATGTGCGCGTGTACTTTTGTCTGCCTGTGCGTGTGGGTGGTGTGTGTGTGTGGTCATGTGTGTCATTATATATGCATATGTACGTAGAAATATGCATGCATGCCTGCATGCATGCATGCATGCATGCATGCAGGCAGGCAGGCAGGCAGGCAAGCAGGCAGGCATGTACGCAGCCCTGTTTGCATGGATGCAGGACGCATGGCATATGCGTGTGGGCGTGCGTGCGTGCACGTGCGTGTGTGCATATATAGATATATATATATATATATCTATCTATCTGTCTGTCTGTGTGTGTGTGTTTCTGAATGTGTGTCTTTGTGCGCGTGCATGTATGCCTGAGCGCACTGCATGTCTGCATGTGTGTATGTGTGCCTGCAAGTATGTATCTAAGTATGTAAGTACGTATGTATGTATGGATGCATGCATGTAAGCATGCATGCATGAATGTGTTCATGTACCATGTGCGTATGTATGTAAGTATGTCGTACGTGTGACATATATGTATGTGTGGGTGCAAGCGTGCATGCGTGCATGCATGCATGCATGCATGTATGCCTGTGAACGTGTGAACTCGCGTATGTGGGTGTGTATTCATGATTGTTTGTTTGTGTATGTATGCATGGATGTGCATATGTGTGTAAGTCTGAATGTGCACATTAACGATATGCATGCATAATACAGTCATATGTCAGACATGGATGCATGCATGCGTGCATGTATGGAGCCAGGCAGGCAGGCAGGCAGGCAGGCAGGTTGGCTGCCTGGCTGTTGGCTGGACGGCTCGATGGATGGATGGATGGATGGGTGGGTGGGTGGGCGGGTGGGTGGGTGGTGTTCTTGCTGTTTGCATATCAAAAACCAGAGCCTTTCAGTACTTGCAATGTTCCATCAGGAAAAACCACAGCCACAGCCCAGAAGCATGACATCCGTACATTGAGGATGATCTGCAGTGGGTTGCCGGCTGCTTACTTCGAGCTCTCTCTGCAGCTCAGCTCTGAAAGGCCGGATTTAGACCTGCCAACACATAAGCCCCAACCACGGTTGATATGGGGGTTTCTGATAATTCGGGATGTCTTTTGTCTGGCGTCTGTTGTTTTCCGCAACTCTCCAGCCTATGATGAATGATGAGCAGTCCAGCCTCCCACACTCGCACAGTACCATCCTCCGGTAGGGGATTAGGGCTCCGGGTCCAGTCAGAAGCATTGGGTTCTTGGGCCTGATGCCCAAAAGAAAAAATTAAGGACTTGAGTAGCATTGATTGAATGAAGTGACCGGGGGGCTTCGGATTTAAATTTAGATGCAGGGAGTTTTTGTGCCGCAGCCGCAGCCACCGTCTCAAACCAACAAGCTATTAAGCTAGCCGCCACGACTCAAAAACCTACAACTCCAACACAGAGCACGGAGCTGCCTCGCTCGTGCCGCATGTGGCATGGCACCTCAATCGCACTCGAAATCCTCATCATCTCACGCGACTCAGCGGCCACTAACACTCTCAACCGGGGAGGATCTTAGACAATCCGAGACCTCGAAGCGCCATCCCCAAACTCTGAAAGCTGAACCTCATCAAACAGACAGCTCCTCGCCACCGGAGGCTAGACAAAGTGAATCGTCGGGTGCAGTGCTCCAGGCCAGGGAGAACCTGCAAGGAATCTTGCAAAGCTGTTGCTTTCTAGCGAAGGCTTCGTAGTGAATCTAGGAGACTGAGTGTTCTGGGCTACATTAAGTGACTCCGGCGGTTCCACATGGCTGGTGGGCTGGTATGGGGAGGTCGGCCTGGGCCGAGGTTGCCGGCCAGATACGACCCAAATCAACACGACCACGAGTCTGTTGAAATACCAACAAATTCCCTTTTGGAGGCAAGGGCAAGCCATGCAAAGCACAAGGCGACATGTGAACGCCTATATGACTCATATACATGCGAAACTATGCCCATGTATAGTGGTGTGCATACGCGGGCACCGAGTTATCCACTACAGAACTCGTAATTCAGTAGGGATGTGCTTCCACGGTGCTGTGTTGGCTTTCCTCATGTCTCCGTCTTTCTGCAAATTGTGTACATTCTGAAGGAGGGGGGGCAAAAACATGAGAGACTCTGTGCAAACGGCCATAGAGCCAATTTGTAACATATCTACGTGCATGTATGTGTATATATATATATATGTGTGTGTGTGTGTAACTTCACGCAAGTTTAACATGCATGATAGACAGACAGCCAGGCATTTGCAGATACATACACACACATGAATATATATATATATATACATGTATTCATATATATATATATATACATATGTATGCATATATGCATATATATATATATATATATGTATATATATATATAGGTATATATATATATATACATATGTATATGTATATGTACAAACACATATGTACAGACACACCTTACTTAGATTATGTTCGGTGTCCCACTATTTTTAGTTTACATGCATTCACGGGCCAAGTCTTGTCTGTGTTTTTCACAAGGGACTCGTCTGCTGCCCTTACTGCCCAGCTTGACCCACAAGACAGTACGCATGACTGTGATATCTAGTTCTCCGCCTCTTCCTCGCTGTCCTCTCTCCAGCCAATGGAGTGGATGCACACACACACGCATATAGACGAATGCAGTCTTTGTCTTTCTCTCTTACAAACCGACGCCACTTCAACGTGAATACCCCGGAACACTCCACACCAAGCCCTGAACTTTCAACTTGAATCTGAAACCACGCTTCGGCTATTCGAACCTAAGCCTAACACCGAAGGCCGCCCAGCAGCACTGCACCAAAGTGTCCTTGAAATCGCGTCATGCCTGGCTCTTACCGAAGGCTTTTGGAAAGACGCATATGTAACAGAAACCTGAAGAAGCCGAGACATCCAACCCTGGACTTGCAATCACGCTTCGGCCGCTTCGTGCTGCAGGCTCATCTCATGGAATTTGACCACTGGCTGCCAACGGCTTCTGTGAACTCCGGCAACCCTGCAAACCTACGATCAGTTACTATCACCGACGGTACTCTGCCAAACCCCCTCGCTTCCACATCCCAGACTGCTTGGGTCGGAAAGCATGCGTTGCAGTTCAGTGCTACCGTCGGCAGCTCCATCATGTAATATAGGAGTCTTAATAATTAGGACAAGTTTGTACTATTATGCTACCAGTTATAACAGGGAACCGTAGCGAAATCCCCCAGGCGCGAGTCTGACAAGCTGCAGACTCCAAGGCTGGCATCGAAGATACAGATGCTGCCATCACTCGATCCAGTGGCCAGTCTTGGGCGCTGGGAGTCGTTCCTGCTTGGAAGGGTGGCTTACGGCCTGATAACAAGGCTAAGCAATCATTATACACTTCGTGGATGTAGTGGAATTCAACCGCTACATTCTAGAATCTTAGAAGTGGTCTCTGGAAGAGCATGGTGCTACGAATTGGCAAAGCATCTGCTGAAAGAAAGCCCAAGGATTTGCCGTTTGGAGAAGTCTTTTTTGTCTCCTAGTTCGCACGGACGAGCCCTTGGGGGTCGAGGGTTGCTACATTCATGACCTTTCGGCCTAGGGCGGCGTCGTACCCAAAGACTCGGATACTGAATGCGAGGACCCTGACAACTTCGACCCCTTAGAACTTAGACGTAGAAACTTTAGACCTTCAGAGGTTCATGTGCCGACAACAAGGAAGCCTCCAAGCGATGGTGTAAACCTTGGCCGGCACATGGATTAGCAGGTTTACGGCTTAAGGCTAGTTCAGAGCATGTTCAAGCATGATTCTGGATATCGGGATGAGGGGCTTTGCACGAGGCATTCCTGGCCCGATCTCGGCAGGCGCCCGAGCTTTTTCGTAGGCTCAGTAAGCCAATTGGAACAGTCGCTTGGACCATATAAACCGCCCCTCTACATCTCTTTGACACCTGCAATCAGCATCCAAGTTTAACAATGAACAGCCACTGATTCTACTTCAGCTGGGTGAGGGGTGGGTGTGTCTAGTTGGGAGAGGACCTCGGGCTGGACGCTACGAACGAAGACCACGTGTGATGTTCCTCCCCCATAGAGCTTCTCGAGACATCTCGGCAAACGAAATCACAGCCTTGGGCCTTTGTGCGGGATGGTCCAATGTGCCACATCTTTGGGTTGACGGGTTTAGCCCCGAGGTCCGAACTCTTCCAGGAGTGCTGCAGCACGCAACCTTGCCAGCGCGCGCAGTTCAGGGACTCGAGGAGCGCGGGCTGATGTGGGGTCCCAGGCTGGCAACATTCACCCCGTTAAGAAGAAAATGTGGAAACCGGACCCTGGGGCCAGCGGGGCAGTTGGTGAAAGACAGTTCCAAACGCTTCATTTTAAGAAAAGGCTGCTCATCACTCCAAAGCTCGCGGTTCGGCCTGTTATTGTACTGTACTATCTGTATGCACAGTCTGTCCGAAGCCCCGTCATAAACCCAGCGTACTGAAAACAGCAAGCTCTTGACTCACAGCACCACAGGAGGACCTGAATTCCTTAAAGCCCTCGCCCCAAGCCTGCCGGCCGGTGTCCACGCCCCAAATGAAGGCAGAGCCATCATGCGAACCGGTCGCCAGGCTCGTCGCACCTACAAGTGCTGTGCAGGAGAACAGGTCCTCTAGAATTTCGGAGAAACCTGAAGGTGCATAAGAAGCTCGAAGGCCTCGGGTTCGATTTCTGGCTTTCAATAAGCTCAAATGTGGTCTTGTGAGGCTCCGCTGCAGCCGTCTTCGCTTGAGGGCTTGAGGAGACTTAGTCGCCCTACCGAGGACGAGACTGGCGGAGCCCTTCAACCGAAAAACTCTCTCTCTCTCTCTCCTGGCCTTGGGGACGGGTCAGCGTCCCCGGGCACCTGGCCCACCTCTCTCTCTCTCCCTCTCTCCCTCCCTCCCTCTCTCTCTCTCTCTCTCTCTCTCTCTCGATACATATACATACATACATACATACATACATACATACATACATACCTACGTACATGTATTACATTATGTGGCAAACTGTTACGCATCATAGCTTGTACTAGGCTATATTATGTTATATTGTATTCTATTTATGAAACCCTGAAACTCGAAATACTTGCAGCCTGCAGGAGAGGCTCCTGCAGGGCCCCGAAAGCCAGTGGCTTTAAGGTAGAAAGCCAGTGGCTTCAAGGTAGATTCGTCCGTTACCAACTAGTGAGCTCAAGCAAATGGAACCTGAAGCGGGCAACCTGCTTAGATTAAAGATTCCTGCAGATGCCTGCAGTCAATCTTGTTGCCTTCCAATAGGTGTATGTTTTACCTTAAATACCCATCACGACCAGATCTTGCCCGCAGCCTGAACTTAACCACCGGAGTGTGTGGGGAGACGCCGGGGAAGCTTTCGACCCAGGAAGCCGACAGCCCCAATCTGCACGAAAGAGCACTTCAAGCCTAGGCTGCCATGCCTCTTCGATGCCTCCTCGCCCCCTGCCCTTTGAAAGCAAGGTTTCATCTGCGCCAGAATCCTCCAAAATCCTTCAAACCGTTGGAAGCCAAAAGTCGTGACAAAAGGAACTACAGTGTCGAGTTTAGGATTTGCATCGGCCACTTCTGTGCCTGGTCCCCAGGCCAGGGAAGAGATGGGGCCTACGTGGCCCTCCCAACGTACCTGCGTTTAGGGTTGGGCCGCCAGTCCTTTTGTGGCTTTGAGGGGGGCTGGGAGGGAGGGTTCTATGCTTGAGCCATGGGCCTGGGCCTCAGTCGATTTTAAGGTTCAGGGGTTCCTGAAAAAGGTTCAGGGGTTCCTGAAAGTGGTTTGAGTTCAGACTCTTGGGGTGCGATGTGGTCATGAATCCGCTTACGGCGACTATGTGCCCTGCTTTCAGGACCCCTGTAAATACGACCATGTATAGCTTATCGAAATCACGACTAGAAACCTGTACCAAATGTAGTTTCAGTCGTTCCTGTTCTTGGTACGTGCCATGTGCTTGTAACGGCTGTCACCGACATTGTTCCATCGTCCTCATCTGTGAGGTGAGTGCCGCAGTTTACTCAGCTGTCGAATTGGAGGTCGGAGGAGGGGCTGGGATTCGGTCACCGATCGTGAGCCAGGAGCTTGTTTACCGATGCTTGGCAATGTCTGCAACACAAGGTTTTAGCTGAGCTGCAGCAGAACGAACGACAGCATGATAAGACCTGCAGGACAGTGATCAATGGCCATAACAGCTAAAATCGCGGTGCTGGTGCTTGTAGAAACAAGAAGAGCGAGTGTTGGTGTCGGATTGGAAGCTGCTCGCTGGGTCCCTTTTGATGCACCCTTAAACCAAAAAACGACAAAAACACAGACTTCAATCTCCACTTCCTGAGCACCCAGAACCACAGGTCAAAAGACCGAAAGCTTCCCCCTCAAAGCCACGATCTACGTGGAGCACGATGCAGGTCCCAGTGAGCGGGTCGAAAAGCCGGGCAATGCCGTCTGTGCTGCCGGCCGCCAAGGATGTGGCCTGCAAACGAGACTGTTTGAAAGCAGGTGGAAAGCGGCATTGCACTTGCACCGGAACATGCAAACAGTGGAGCAAAACAGGCGTCAAAACGATTCAAGGCAAACCTTCCAAAGTTGGTGAGCCCTCCTCGAATCCCAAACTCTGACCCACTGAAAAACTTGTCTGCCGAGCAGACAGCCTCCGGGTGCCAAAGGAGACAGTAGACCTCTGAGACAGCTCGGTTGAATTCAGGGTCTAGGCGATGAGTAGGGGACTGCAGGTGGGTTTGGGTGTTACATTGCACGGAATTACACGCAAAACAAACTTCAAGCTCCGAAAGTGACAGAAAAAACGGCCAATGTCGGCATGCCAATGTGCGGAGTCTGCTGAAACTGGAACAATACCCTGGCGTGGCATATCTGTCGTCTGAAGGCCCAACATATCCGCCATCGCCCTGGCAGGTCTTCAAGCACTTGCCTGCCCCGAGCACTGATTCGAGATTCGCTGCTCCGCTGGCTTCTGCTTATTGGGAGCTCTTGTACCTAGTTGACTGCTCTTCGACAAGGTTTGGGTTCTACCAGGATCGATTCTAGCGGCTTCTGGTTAGCGCCCGTGGATCGGGGTTTGGGAGCTCGGTCAGCTTCGTCGGACACAGAGATGTCCAAGGCATCCTGCACACAGCCCAGCCTTTCTTGGGCTCCCATATCCTCCGCACGGCGTCATGATTCCAAGGCTCGCAATGTGCAGGTTGGGGGGTACCAGCGGATGTTCAACCCACAGCTTCATGCTTTCAGAGGAGCGCTGCGTGACAACTGCGGCGCCTGTTGCCGAGCGGTATTTTGGATCGGATACACAGCAGTGTGACAAACAGCTTCGGAAACATCCCTGCATATCCCCCCTGTCCTCACCGTCCCATCAAGGGAGCCGGAAGCCACGCAATCCTTGCCTGATTCAGGAGGTGGTGCTGGGCTGAGCATTGGGGTGCATGGGCTACAGGTTTCAATGGAAGGGATAACGCAAACAGCTGCCCGTCAATATGGGACTCAAGCAAACAGTCTCTTACAGGAGTGGCTGCAAAAACTATCATGTGGAGCTTCGACTGTTTAGCAGACGTCCAAGCGTCGATACAAACTTTGATAGTTTTCCGTTGAGCACGAACCACAACCTAAACCCGAAGCCCGAATCCACGTTCCTGGAGCTCAAAACACCGACCATCGCGGGCGTACCTTGTGGGCTCCACGCAATGCACCTGACCTTGGCCGCAAGGTCTTTTTGAAGCCGACTTACTGCCCCAGTGCTTGGGTGTTGTGCGGTTTCAGTACAGGACGGTGAGTTGAGCAGATCACAATAGGCCAATCCTGGCGAGGGGTCTGAACTTTCGGGCTCTATGCTCAGCGTCCGTGGCTAAACGGCTTGACCTTTTCATGAATTCCTGTCAATTTAAACTTTGGCCGCAGTTATCCTTAGGCTTGAGGTGTTGACTGCAGGCGAAGACGTGCTGTAGCCACGCGGCTGGTTCTGAACACCACCGTCCCAACAAAACATCACCCAAACAAAAGATTTGACAGAAACTCAACACCCTCCTTCGGCTCTCCCAAAGCCACGTAAGTAAATTCAATGACGCAAATTACATCGTTGTTCGGGGTGCATCACTTGCGTGGTTCCCTCCCCAACATGTCCCGTGCGATCCGCGAACGGTGCCGTTTCGTAACGAACGCGAATAGACGTCCCTTCTGCTCTGCTTCATACCTCCACGCTTGATTCCTGGAAAGGATCCGGAAAAGGAGCAAGCGACGTCGTTTTCGCAGCGAGCGGACGGGTTGAGCACAAAATGATGTCCATATCTCCGCTGTAAAGCGGCCCAGGCTCGAACGCTAGACCGGAAGGGTGAGAAAAGGAGCAAACCACGTCGTTTCGCGACGAACTGACAAGGTAAGCTCGAACATTTCTTCCTTTGCTCTGCATTTCAAGGGTCGGCAATCGGGAATCGCTTCCGAAAGGGGCCCTGAACAGCAAAAACCGCCGTCTTCGCGACGAACGCACGACTCGGTCTCGCAAACAACTTCCTCTTGTTCTGTGTCAATGGTCGGGAATCGATTCCTGAAGGGGAATGGACACTCGATATGAGCTCGAAGGCGAGATCCTGTGCTCCGTGTCAAAGAGTCAAACATCCCGCCTCAAGGGATAGACGAGGAGCAAAGGATGGTAGCTGCCGCGCCAAACAAACGACTTGAGCTCGAAAACCACATGCTGTCATCTGTTTGAAATTCTGGACTCTACTCAGGCTTCCAAAAAACTCAGGGACCAGTACATTCGAGAATGCCAAGGCAGCTCTCGTTCACATAGTAAACACGCACAGGAAATGTTGGGATCCCCGACTTGGTTCGTATGCCCAGAGCAGCTCACCGTGGCCAAGGCGGCGTGAGGATACCACACCACCACTTCGCCATCCTATTCTTTCCGGGTCCCCGGTTCGTGCAGGTTTTTTAGGGCTTCGAACTGGGGAAGCTAGAAAAGTTTAGAATTCGGCTCGCGTGGTTTGGGGAAAAGTACGGATCAGTGCCGATAAGCGTGATCATGGATCGCACAACCTCCAGCTGTCCACAGTCTCTGCTACGAACTAACCAACCCTTGCCTGGCTGCTGTGGGGTTGTTCTACATTGGGGTTCCCTCCAGGTTTGAGGCTATCATCTATAGACATCTGCCTCGCATTTGGTGTACTTTGCAGTTTGCATCGCTCGACACGAAATTTCAGCATTTAAACACCAGGTTTCGTCGGGATTTGTGGGATTTAGGGCGGGTTCAGTGTAGGCCTGATAGCCGGTGGCCAGTCGCACGCCGTCAGGAGCCCAGGAGATGCAGCCTCAGGTATAGTCTTTAGAGTCTCACGCGTTGAAGTCCGCTCCTGCCCTCCAGTGTAGACTGCAGAAGTAAAGATTCCTTTGGACTTGTCCTCGCTGGCCAGTCGTAAAGCGATTGTTGCCGCTGTAAGAAGATGTTGAGTTTCAGGACATGTGTGTCCCGAAATCACTGGTGACACGTTTCATGAATCCCCGGTCGGAGTCTGGACAAGCCTGGAACCTTGGGGCTCAAATCCTTATACCTCGATCTTGGGAGCCCTTGGCCGCAAACCAGAGCACAAACCTCAAACCTTACGTGGTCGCTGGCTGCCGAGCAGGCCACCGGCGAAGCCGCGGGGCTCCGTGGCCTCCAGCCTTGAAGTCACTGTTACAGGGATAATTTAGGTTGAATCCGCGCTAAGTTTAGATCATCCATGGCCAAACCGTGAGGATGTCCCAGGTCTAATCGCGCTCTCCACATTACATTTCAAGTTCAAGCTCTTTTTGCAAAGTTTGCCAGGGGGTAGTCGTGGTGGTAGTAGTAGCAGCAGCAGCAGCAGGAGCAGTAGTAGTAGTAGTAGTAGTAGTAGTAGTAGTAATTAGTAGTAGTAGTAGTAGTAGTAGTAGTAGTAGTAGTAATAGTTCTGTCACCCACCTAGCCTGGCACGCCTATGACAGCTCTGTGGGTAACAGTCGGCAACTACGCTCAAAGAGTTTGCGCAACAATACAAAAAACAGTTGGACAACAAACGAATAGACTCCATTCGAGGGAGAAGCTGTCGCTTTGCCGGCAGATTGTCTATAGTAGTGGTAGTGATAATGATCGTGATAGGGGTAGTGGTAGTGATAGTGGTAGTAGGAGTGGCTGTCGTCGTCGTCGTCGTCGGCGGCGGCGGTGGTGGTGCAGTAATACTAGTCGCAGCAGTGGCGGCAGCAGGAGCAGGAGTAGCAGCAGTAGTAGTA